TCCGAGTGCTGGGGCAGTGGGGCTTTGTGGGGTGGAGGTCCGGGTGCACCTGGTTGGGGCTCAGTGGGGTGGGGATCAGGTTCAGGGGGGCTCATCAGGGTGGTCCAAGTCCAGGGGATGGGGATATAGGTGTGGGGGGCTCAACAGGGGATGGTCTGGGTGCAGGGGTGGGGCTCAGGGAGGGTTCGGGTGCAGGGGGGTTCTGGATGCATAGGGGGGGGTGCAGTGGGAGGTGATTTGGGGGGGGCTGGATGCAGGGGTGAGGCTCAGTGAGGTGGGGGTTCAGGTACAGGGGGCTCAGTGGGTGGTTCAGGGTGTGGAAGGGTGGGGCTTGGCAGAAGAATCTGGGTATGGGGTGGTCTGGATGCATGGGGGTTGGGCAGAGGGGGGAGCAGCTCCCTGTACAGTGACCCCTTACCCTGTGGTAGAGGAGTGATGGGGACAGACAGCGGAGATAGGGTGGGTGGCGCTTCCTGCAGCTGGGGGAGGTTTTTGGGGGTCGGTCTGACTCAGCCTTGCAGAGGAAGAGGACGGTCCCGTCCTGCCCAGCCCAGCAGAGACTGGCAGCTGAGCTGCTAGCAGGGTTGGAGCCACCGGACGGGAAGTCCCCAGCTGCCTCACTTTCTTCCCCCCCTTCCCCCACCCCGCAGTGATTTACCTTTTTGCCAGCTGCTCTAGGAACCCAAAATGGTGTCCCTGTGCTGCTAGAGAGGGGCATGTGACCGCTTTTGCAGCTTCCCTTTGCTTTCCTGTCAGAAGGCATTTTTCTGTGGGGAAGTAAAGAAATCTGCAGGGGACGTGAATTCTGCACGTGCGCAGTGGCACAGAATTCCCCCAGGAATATTACCTGAATCTTTTTACATTTTTTAGCCTCTATTTGGATACAGTTCCTTTCAGGAAGATATCATTAGAATACCAAGCTTAACTGTAAAGGCTAGGCAAATTATGTGTCCTTCTGCACATGGATCAAACAATGGGAACTGTTCTTTGTGGAATGTAACTGACCTTCTCCCAGAGACTGAATGTGTCACTTCCATAACATTCAAATCGTGCAAGTCTCCATTTATCTGTGCCATGTGCTTGTTATTGAGCTGATTACATTCTAATCATATTACTATTAGTGTATGTTAACTGTTTGTTTATTCAGAATCCTCCAAGCTCTGTAAAAGTGATATAAATTCATAACTATGTATCCTTATGGGTCTTGATAAGAGTCTTGATTTGTACTGTTTTTGCTGTCCTACTTAAGTAAAGCGGAGGGGGGAAAAAATCTTACTCTGGCCAGTATTAGCCACTAATGTTCTGACATGATGAATGTGTGTACTCTTTGTGAGAGCCCGATCCGAAGTCATTTAATTCACTGGAGAAAAATCCCTTTCACTTCAGTGGGTTTTGGATTTGGCCCCTAGTTAGGTGTGTGGACAGCTGCAAATTTCTATCCACAAGAAGAATGAAAATTAATTATGTATTGCATTATTTGTAGTCTAGTGTTTTTCTTTTAGAACTAGCATCCTGTTTTACTGAAACAAAGGGCTGCTGATATTAATGACCACAATAGACAAGAAGCCAAACATTATTCATTATGCATAGTCTACTGAAGTGAGACCCTGTCATCATTCTGGGCCCTATGTTGCAAGGAGATGAGTTCAGTCACTACAGCCAATAGGACTTGTGTGCTTGACAGCATCTTGCAGGATCAGGCTTGTGCTCTGTTCAGTTTTTTGGAGTCTAAAACAAGGTTCAAGTCAAAATGTTCAAAATAACCATACAGAGCAGATTTTATTCAACAGTAAAGGATGCTTATACATGTCTAAAGTAGAAGAAACCTATTAATGTGACTTTCCATCTGAAGGATCTCTCTCTCTCTTTCAGGTGAAACCACATAGTAACCAGGTAAATTTAGCTTCCTGTTGTGTGATGCCACCTGACCTCACAGCATTTGCAAAACAATTTGACATCCAGCTGTTGACTCATAACGATCCAAAAGGTAAGGCTGTAGTTGAACTTACTTGACAAAATTAACAGCAATTTGAGTGCAATTTTTTTTTAACCTTTAAAGCCCTGTGCATTGGATTCAGATGAAGTCAATAAATGATATAGAGGTATACAAGTTCTTATGTGCTTGCCTTAAGAAGAAAAAAAAAAAAAAGCAATCCTACAACAGGACTTCTGGGATACTGTAATAGGAAAACAATAAAGCAGTGGGAAGGGATGTCTTATCTAAAAGTATTGTGTACTGTACCATGTTTAAAATTTATGGTTTATTAATTCCAGCAAAGCATGTAGTCTCAAGTGTCATTCTGTACCCTTCAGAACAATGAAAGACATGGAAGAGCGTCACACAGAAGCTGGCAATGAAAAAGCCTTTGTAGCAACATACCCCTGGTTAACCTGAAATAGTATGTTTGAAGGTAGAGGATGAGAGAGCCCTGTTTAACCTGTAATGTAATGTAAAGTTTGTCAGTGTTTTTTTTTATATCTGTGATGACATGGTGACTTAATTACTACATTATAGTAGAATCACACAGTTTCTCTTCTGGGTTCCAAAATCCTCCTGTGGTGCCATCTCCTCAGAATGCTGTTATAAAATAATCTTCTTAAAATATTAAATTGGTTCTTCTTGAATCTGGATTAATCTGATTCAGCCTATTCGCATCTAAACAAATGCATTGCTGGAACTGTAAACTAAAATAACTTGGACAAGATCTTTTGTTTCACTTCCTCAGTTTAACTAAAATGGCTGTAGGCAAAAGTGTAGTGGAGATCAATTTTTTTCTAGTAAGGTACTTATTTGTGTGTTTAATTACCTGGTGAATCTTGCTAACAAAAATGTGTCTAGTAGAATGAAACTTTAAGGTCTTATTAAATATGATCTAAATTACTTTAGACTGTACCTGGATGAAGCTTGATTTGGGAGTGAATGAGACTTTGTAGTGGAATTCAGAAACTGCCTGGCCATTTACAAGTATCAGTACATTTTGAGCAATGGATATGCCAGCATAAAATGCTATTCATTAGTTAATTTTTAAATAGTAAGAATTAATACTTGCGCTTCTAAATTTGTTTGATTGCTTATGTAAACTATAAAATACAAATCTTCAGCTCTCTTTTGTTGCCTTGCAAGGGAACCTGTTTTTGCAAATAGCTTGGCTTTCATGCAGGTGCAGGTTGGACTTGCAGAGGTAGCAAGTTCAACATGTGGAGAAAGGGTGTAGTTTCCACCACTATTTAAGGAATCTCCCATCTTCTTATTCAGAGCTGAGTTGAAAAATTATAGCTACCTGGGCTACATTTGGTCTATGCTTTAGCTCCTGGGCATCCTCTGCTGCTGAAAGAAATATGTTTTAATTATTTAAGCAAATTTGTGAATGGCAGGAACCAGTAAGGACAAATACAGATATCTTGAATTTTTGGGCAAGAGGCCGCAAATTTATTAATTCCGTACTAGAGTAAGCTCTTGAGGCAGTCTGGCCTGGGAACAGTGAAAATGGTCAGCACCATCAATGCTCTCTCTGTTACCTGCCTTCCCCTTGTTGATGCTCAAATTCCAAGCATCACAGTACTAGGGCTTAGCAGCCTGCTTAAACCAAGGCCACCAAACCAGTATCTACTCTACTGAAAAGGAGGGAGTTAACACCTCTGCTGCCAGAAGCTAGCACCCAGAATTGTGATACTGTAAAATAAATGACTCATTACTAAACCAAGTAAAACTCATGCTGATTTGTCAACAAACCGTACCACATAAGTCCTTAAAGAGGCTATGCCAACAAACTGAATATGACTTCAAAAGGCAGCAGGATGCCCATGACGTATTTCCAGGTCCACCAATCTTTCATCAGGGATGAAACACATCGGCAAAGTTGCTGTAGTCCAGGTGACCCTTGGAAATTGCTGGCTAGAACCACAGTATCCTCTGAAACTCCAACTGCAACCTGCAGACCAAAACAAATTGAAAATTCATTAATACACACCAATAACTATCATGAGAGGGGAGGCAGGGTGGGGTTTGTGGGATTTGTTCCTGTCAAGGTTCCCTCCCCACTCTGAACTTTAGGGTACAGATGTGGGGACCCACATTAAAGACCCCCTAAGCTTATTTCTACCAGGTAAGGTTAAATTTTAATACTCTGCCACCACCAAGTGCTTT